TTGGCTGAAAAAGGTTCCCCACAACAAGTCTGTAAGTGGCGACCAGTTTGAGAAAGCTGGTCGCTCTCTTCTTTCTAACTTGTCTTGCTTTTCTCGCTATTTCTTTCCCTTTTTGTGTGTGTGTTTTTTTTGTGTTTTCCGATGCCGTTGATACCGTCAACGGCACTCCGACGACTCGCTAATGACTCTGATAGTGATGTATTTCAATAACTCGCTTACCATTTGGAACACCGAGATGAACGTGACCGATAAAGAAAAAAAATCTCTCTAACAGATTGATGGAGCGCGCACGTGGGTCATGCAAGGATTAGAGCATGATACGCAAAGCGGCAAAGTCCTCAAAGGGAGTGATGCACTGAACACGTCAATCAAATCAAATGAACAATCAAAACAGCAGTAAAATGAGACGTATTTCTGTTTGCCTTTATTGGACCCTTATTAGCCATTATTGGCCATTATTGATCATTATTTAGTAGTTACTACCGAATATTGTACGCGCAAATGTTCTGCAGGACATTCACAATTCTTTCAATTCTCAAATTCGCTGTCGGACAGTCTTGACAATGGTGTCGCTTTCGCTAATTCGTTGTAATAGTCTGTCGGTCGTCGCCAGTTCGTGGCTCTCATGTCGCCGGTTCAAGGCCGTGTCGCTTGTCGGAATTTACCCCTAACAGGGCCTCATTTCTACTCTAAGAACCCCTGAACAAGCCTAGATTCTTATGTCCGATAATGTAACTTTACAAAAGGTTCGTGTAGTCATACGATATTATTGGTTGATACCGAAATCGAAGAAGCCAAAGCAATCAATCCAGGGGCACCCAACGAGGATATAGTTCAAAACCACTTAACATAGCATTGTTGAACGGATTTTAGTATTCAAACGGTAGATATAGGCATATTTTTATCCCCTAAAAACTTTTCATCTGCTCGGATTTCCCAGCTGAAAATCTAGTGATCCGAAAATTATAAGGATAAAAACTTACCTTCTCGAAAATTTCAGCCAGGAAAAGGCTCCCGAAAATTCTAGGTGGCCTTTTTTAGGGTCAAAATCCGTTAAAAATGAGTAATTATACCATTTTGTAGATGTTCGAAAATCCTAGGAGAGGCAGGCAAGCAAGAAATGTTACAACAAATGCTCCGAAAATTCTAGATCTCAAATCGTCTTCCGAACAGATATTTTCCCGAAAATTGCCATTGGGTGCCCCTGTCAATCCCGTTTGCTGCGAGGTTTCACTGGGGCACAGAGGTTGCGGTTGACCTTTCTCTCCTTCACTTGCTTTTGGCAGTGTTAATGAGTAATAAGAAAATTGTCCACGTCCTTTGTAAAGCAAAATTGCTTCAAACTTCCGCAATTTCCGAGTAAAAAACACACCATTAGGTATACACCAGAGAAAACACGCACCGAGTCTTGAGCTTTTTACAGAAAAGCACTTGGAGCGGCAACGTCAGAGGTGGATAACCAATGAGAGAACGCATCGGAACCACGCGAGTCGAATCCGAAAAAACTCGGGAATGACGCGCAATCTAGGAAAACTGTTGAGCCCGAGAAGTGGACCGCGAAAATTATCGTTTTGAGACTGCATAATTTATGACCTATAACGGGAGGCTCCGCCCGGAAGGGGTACCTTTTTCAAGCATCAGGTATGGCCCGTGATGAGGTTGGGATTTCACTACTTAAAGTATATGAAAGGGTAGAGAAATTTGTCATTTTTATCAGATGGCTGGGAAAAAGTCGAGAAAAGATTCTCTTTTTGTGATTTGTTGATAGACTATTTAAAAGAAGTTCTTGACATGTCTTCTCGCGGTGGAAGGCGCAGCGTGAATACCTGAAGAGCTTTACCCATTGACAGAGGATGAGTTCTCTCTACTCCCCGCCCCGACCGTTTCACTTCCCTTACCATAGTCACCTTTCATTTCCCTTACCTACCACGCAGGCTACTTTTTCTTTTAAAGTTCCTCGTTTCTTGCACGGTAACCCATATACACACATCACATACTCTTTATTTCGTTAACTCATGTAGTTATAATTAAAAAATATATGCTTTTCATCATAAAAAAATTAATAATCCCATGTTAACTGGTCAAAACACGAATTTTGAAAATTTAGAGGCTCTGGAGAGATGATTCCAAAATCTTGTCCCACTAACATCCTTCTTGACCAAGAGCATGGGATAGACTTAACTTTCTATTATCCATTGTCCGAGATACCTCACGCTCCAGCTTTCGATACACGTGACTGTGAATTGGTACAACACGATGTTTACGCTTAAATAAAAGCTGCTGACCCAAAATACTGTACAGAAAGAATTATGGCGATAAAAATGGGAGTAAATCATTCCAACAACAAAGAAAGATGTTCTGCAGAAAATTTGGATGACCTTCTATGAAAGTATTGCAAATCAAGGTAGGCGGACGTAAGCTGTTCGTGTTCGAATTAAGATCAACTGCAGACTTTTTAAACACTTGTACTCATTCTTCTCCAAATAGGTGAATTATAGCATCAGAGCAGGCGTTTTATTGTATTGAATCATTTTTTCACTCGCCCCAACGCTCGGTCGGTCTAAAGTCCAAATTTCCTTTCGCTTCCTTGTCGAAGTCAATCGGCTCCTGTCGAAGTACATGGCAAATTCGCTACATTCGCAAGAAGTTTCAATGAACGTCCGAACAGCTTTGCCTAGTCCCTGTACGGCGTCTTTCCAGGCCCTCTCGGTCAATGCACTTCGGTGACGTATCCGAGACGAACGGCCTGGAGACGCCTCAAAAACTTTCTCGGACCACGTGACCCGAGACTCATCGGCCTCGCATAATAATGAGGCCAAGGGACTAGGCAACGAACAGCTTACGTCCGCCTACCTTGATTTGCAATACTTTCATAGAAGGTCATCCAAATTTCCTGCAGAACATCTTTCTTTGTTGTTAGCGTTTCTCCCCAGTCTCACTCTCCGTTTTCAGCCTCGTTCCAGACCTTTTGTTTGACTGCTCGCGCTTACTTGAATAAGCAAAAATACGGACTGTTTTGCAGTCTAGTTGTAATAGGACATTTTCGTGCGTTTTGTTGGGCACGCGGATCCGAAGAGGTAAACCTGGCGATTTTTTTCCTTCAAATGTGAGGCTCGCCAGTGATGTTCTCGCTAGTTTGCGCCAATATATTGCCAAGACGTTAACCACTTCAAGAAGTCAATTTCGGTTTTCTTCGTTTATCGAAACATATTGACCAAGAACAAGAGAGACTCTTACCAAGAAGGCCTGGTAAGCCTGTTCCATTGTTCAGGAACTATGAACAAGGAGTGGTTTAAGGTATATAAAATGTCAGCAAGTCCACAGCAATCGTGATGCAGTGTGAAAGGCTCGAGAAGCTCATTTCAGTAATACACACAGGGAACACATTATTTCCTCTAGGAATAAATAAACGTGACGAAGCTCCCTGATATATGAAACCACCTAGTCTCCTATACCAATAACAATTCATTGTTTTTGTTGTCACTTTTTCAAATTCCGTTATTTTTAACGAACTTTTAGTTTTATTTCCATTTTTCTTTTAGCCCCTGAAGAATGTTTGTTTTCAAACCGAAATATTGGGCAACTTGTTTAACCCATTCGCCCCTGAACCGCCCGTAACCGCCCGTGCGGATCCAGGTCCTTTCTACCCTTTGTGACGTCATCAGTTTTAACGGTCAAGGACAACTTTCTTCGCTAACTTGTGCAGAGTGAAGAGATCTTTCAAACCATACCAGAATGAGCACAATTCAGTCGAGGACACCGGAGAAAGAAGCAAAAAACCACGTGACAAGGACCTGAAAATCTCCATGAAAATCTTGTTCCATTACCCACCTACCTTTCCTTTCACCTAATCCTAAGATCCTAAAAGCTTTCCTAAAAACTCTTCCCACCAAAATGAAGCCTACTAAATGCCCAGCAAGAAAAAAAAAATGAGGCAAGAAAAGCGAAAAAAGAAGGGAGGAGAGAAAGCGAAAAGTAAATGTCAAGACTGCTGTGTCACTTTTAAACCCACTTTTAAATCTCGAAATTTTGCTTTCTGCGCATGCCCGAACTTCGCAAGCTCATATTTTGCATCTGGATCAGAAGGCCGCCAAGTGTACGACCTGTAAACCGGTTTGTGGTAAGTTTTAGCTCTTTATAGCACGACAGTGACCAGAAAACCACTCGACTAGCTTCAAAACGCGTTTTTCGGCAAAATCTCCAGGAGCGAATGGGTTAAATATATATTTTTGTTTTATTCTTTTGTTTACTTCTTCATCGCCTTGCCGTAAGGATCAGTTTGCCGTTTCATACCTCTTTCTAGTGGTTTAAGGTACGGGATTCACTGCGTGTGCAGCAAAACAACATCGGTAACAAGGAGATCTACTGATACACTGTGTGCCTGAGAAGCCTTGTAGCTGGGAGGGGGGGGATCACAGTAGCCTGGTAGAATTTTTTTTTTGCTGAAGGAGCTGCCGAGCGTACGCGCAGGCTAACGCGCGAGGGAAGATCATTTGCCGCTTTTCTCCATTCTCTTCGAGACGAGCGCGTAAAACTGCCGCCAGCTACGTGGGATAGTGCACACGGGGGATTTAGGGCCTCTTCATATGAGCCCGGTTGACCGGGCTGGCCCGGTTTCCGAGATCTCGCCTCACCTCTAAATCCTTTGTAAAATTTTCGATGTGTTCATATGAGAGGGCGGGCTGGCTCGGTTCCCGAGATCTCGGTTTTTCCAACCGAGGGCCTCTTCATATGAGCCCGGTTGACCGGGCTGGCTCGGTTACCGGGATGAATTTTGCCTTGGGTTCATATGAGAAATTTTAGCCCGGTTTCTGAGATGAGAAAAGGTCAAAGATCCTGGGTACGAGTTCTGGCGCCAAATTTGGGAAACAAAGCAAACATAGCGAAACACAAAAATTTTAACTTTCGGGCCTATCTTAGCATCGGTAACTCTTAAAGCTGTATCACTGCAGTTAAATGGGATGCTTATGATGCGGAAAACACAGCAGGCAATGCAAGAC